AGAACGGCTTGAATATTTTTGATCACCATGTTTTCCAGCCAAAAAATGATCCAAATGGTCCTAATTTAACAGGTTTTTGGGGGGTGGTGGTGGTCATTTTTACAAAACTTTCCAGCAGGAAATTTGCAATTGTAAATTTTAGTTTGGGATTAAAAAATCCACACCACTTTTTTTTTATTTTTAGATAAGATCTCCCTCCCCCTCCCCCCATTTGTTGGCACTGAATGCAATAGAACAAACAGTGTCTCTGGAGTCTCATACACATGCTTGAAATAGAACACAACTGGATACGGCCAACGAGAGTCAGGGTCTGGCGCTGGAGGATGCGGTCATATTTCTTATCCCATGAGACAGGAGAATTGGCAGGAGGTTCACGGCCAGAAGTTGGCTGGATCCTGCTATGGGGATGTTGCTTTTTGTGATATTCTGCGCCCTTCCCCCTCATCCACCCCCTTTCTGATGGTCTCAGACCAGCACAACACTTGTTCTCTATTAACATGATATCGTCAGGGATGGGGATGCCTGGACCCAGCAGTGTCCATGTGCTGGATGAGGGTCTATACAGCATTGTTATGCCCAGGGGCAGATTTTTCCTGCGGGACGAGGAGAAGATTCCCTCGTTGTCTATTCTGACAATAGATTTGGGGGCCAAAGCTTCTTTTTATTGAAAGAAAGGGGGGCAGCAGCACCCCTAGGTCCAGCCCCAATGCACCCGCCACCCGCTCTCCAGTCTGCATCTACACTGGGCTCCCTCGCAGCATCTCGGCCAAATCGCTCCCTCCCCGGCAAACACACACACCAGCCCCACCCCTGCGGGCGCCCGGTGCAGCAGAAGGAAGGAGGATCCCCCCGTGTCCCGGGAGCTTTGCTTGTCCGCAGGCTCCGTGAGACCCGGCCCCAGCCCGGCGCGGTCCGGGCCCAGCTCCCACCCCAGCCTGAGCAGCCCGGTTATGGCTCAGACACTCCCTTCCCTCAACCTAAGATCCCAACCTCCTCCCCCCAGCCCCAGCGCTCTCACCTGGCACGCGGCTCTCGCAACGTGGCTGGAGAAGAGACGCTCCGGTGCTGCTTGACCGGGCACCCGCTCTCAGCGGCAGGGAAGGGAAAGCCGGGGGCGGAGCGAGCGCTCCTCCAATCAGCGTCAGAGTGGGGGGGCAGTAGCGGGAAACACCTACAAATTCTCTCTGCTCCCAGTTCCCCGAAGCGGGTGAACCCCCGGGATACGGGCGCGGTGCCGGGCGGCCGCGGGGGCGTTTTGCTAAAATCCCCCGGAACTGTCGCTCCAGGCGCAGCCGCTCCTGCCTGTAGCTCTGCCAGGCCCCAGTTCCCCCCTGGGCGCGCCCGGTCACCCCCCTGCGCTTCTCCAATGCCGCTGTCCCGTCCCCGCCCCGCCCCGCTCCCAGAGACCCGGGGCCCGGCACTTGCGGGGCCGGACACAGACGCCCGCACCGCGGCTCGCGGCCCCGCGCTTCTGAGCGATGCTCCCGCTGCAGCGATCGGGCTGTCAGAGCCCCGTGTGCGCCCCTCGGCTGGGGAAACGCGTTCACACGGGGCGAGGCGGGGCGCGGGGGGACGATGCCCCAGGCAGACCTGTATTGAAACCCAAATTCTCCAGCCAGTTCTGGACAGGCAACGCTCCTCACAGGACCAAGGCCTTGTGGTGGGGTGCTCTTCCCCATGCTAGCCTAGAAGGGGGTTCATGAGGTTGGGAAGGGGGCAATTAAGTGGTAGGCCACAGCTGAGGGGAATTAGGGGGCTGAATGATAATGGAGCCAGCTGAGAAGGACCAGGCAGGGCTGGTGTAAAGCCAGGAAGCTGGTAGCAGAAGGGGCTACAGTGAGGGAGCCTGTAGCCACTCTGTGGACATGGGAGAATGAAGGGAAGAAACCTAGGGGAGAGGGTGTAGGAAAAGGCTGAAGAAAGGGCACCAAGGTTTAAGATGGTGCACACCTCCTTGGCTGCTGATTAAAGGGTCCCTGAGCGGGAACCCGGAGTAGAGGGTGGGCCTGGGTTCCCCTGCAGGTGGCCACTGGTGAAGCGTCACTGTCTGGGCCATGAATGAGAAGGCTCCATAGAAACTGTCTCAGGCTAAGACTTCGATGTCCCGGGAACAGTGCCCTGGCCGGAGGGCCGAGCCAGGAAGGGAGAGCACCCGGTATCTCAAAGAGTGAGGGAGAGAGGCAGCAAGGTGCACAAGCAGCAGCAGAAGGGAACGTCGTCGGACCTGGAAAGAGCTAATCCCCAGAGCAGCCAGGAGGAAGGGCCTTAGCAGTAATTAACCTGACAATCGCTGACTATTTGTAACAAAAATCAGAACCCCCACAACGCACACTGACCTGCCAGATGTGTGTAACGTGGCAACATCAAAAAAGAAACCCGGCAGCCACCACATGCAAAACAGGACCCTGGAGACAGAGTCACAACATACAGAAAACCCACCAATGAAAGCAGCAGAGATCCCAGTTACAGGGATCCTGCCCTGTGAGAACACAAGCCAAAATCAGCTGCAGACACTGACTGCTTGTCTATATTCTGAGTTGCACAGACGTAATTAAGTTCTTGTCTATATGAGAAACACTACAGTGGCACAGCTGCTGTATTGGCACTATAGAAACAGAAGTGGTTCTTGTGTAGCTGTAGATAATCCACCTCTCCGCGAGGTGGTTGCTAGGTCAGTGGAAGTATTCTCCTGTTGACATAGGGCTGTCTACACCTGAAGTGAGGTTGGCTTAACTATGTATCTCCGGGGGTGTGTGTGTGTGAATTTTTCACACCTCTGAGCGAAATAGCTACATCGACCTAACTCTCTAGTGAAGACCAACCCAAAGGGTATGTCTACACTACGGGATTAATCCGAATTTATATAATTCGAATTTGGAAAACAGATTGTATAAAGTCGAATGTATGCGGCCACACTAAGCACATTAATTCGGCGGTGTGCGTCCATGTACCGGGGCTAGCATTGATTTCTGGAGTGTTGCATTGTGGGTAGCTATCCCATAGTTCCCGCAGTCTCCCCCACCCATTGGAATTCTCGGTTGAGATCCCAATGCCTGATGGGACAAAAAACATTGTCGCAGGTGGTTCTGGGTACAGCCTCACCCCTCCCTCTCTCCATGAAAGCAACGGACGGCAGACAACCATTTCGCGCCTTTTTTCCTGGGTGAACACTGCAGACTCCATACCACGGCAAGCATGGAGCCTGCTCAGCTCAAGACAGCAGTCATGAACATTGTAAACACCTCGCGCGTTCTCGTGGAGTTTATGCTGAGCCAGGACCAGAAAAACGAGGCGAGGAGGTGGCGGCGATGGCAGCGCAGCGACAAGCGTGATGAGGACATGGACACGGACATGGACACAGAATTCTCTCAAACCACGGGCCCCGGTGCTTTGGAGATCATGTCGTTAATGGGGCAGGTTCTATCCCTGGAACGCCGATTCTGGGCACGGGAAACAAGCACAGACTGGTGGGACCGCATAGTGTTGCAGGTGTGGGATGATTCCCAGTGGCTGCGGAACTTTTGCATGCGTAAAGGCACTTTCATGGAACTTTGTGACTTGCTTTCCCCTGCCCTGAAACGCCAGAAT